AATGTTAACATGCATTCAAAAACAGACTTGAAAAACAAAAAATTAAACTTCATTTGATATGAATAAAAAACCACAAAGCAAAATGTTTTATGTGGGAATGAAAATATTCTACTTTTATATATATAAAGCTGAATTTTTAGCATCATTACTCCAGTCTTCAGTATCCTTCAGAAATCATTCTAATATGTTCATTTGCTGCTCAAGAAACATTTCTTCTTCTTCTTCTTCTTCTTCTTATTATTATTATTATCAGTATTGAAAATAGTCGTGCTGCTAAATATTTTTGCAGACAATGTGATACATGTTATTTTCAGATTCTTTGATGAATAGAAAGTTCAAAAGAACAGCATTTATTTGAAAAAGAAATCTTTTGTAACATTAAAAATGTCTTCATAAATGTCTAATAAATGTCTCTTTATAAATGTTATTATAATAGTCTTTAAATTTGTCACGTTTGATCAATTTAGAGCATCCTTGCAGAATAAAAGTACTTTCTTTCTAAATAATGTTACTGACCCCAAACGTTTGAACAGTAATAATTCTTAGTGGTTTTGAAAAGTGCAAGCACCTCTAAAATGTTTTAGATCTTTCATTGTACGTGTAAGGTAAAAATCTGTAAGGTTAATGATAATCAATAGGAATATTTTCATAAAATAAAGGTTATTTTAGAAGACACAATGATATACCCAGCTTAGAACAACAACTGTGTAATAAACCCCTAAAGGAGTTACACCAACGCTGAGGTCAAATATCATTCCAGTGACATTTTGTGACTCATCATTTTTGGTTAAATATTGTCTTATCATGCAGTTCTCTGACTGTGCACGTAAACTGTGGCTGATCATTGCAGCACATGTGACGTTTTAGCAGGAAATTCCAGTCATTCCACACAATTCCCCTATCACAGCTTTATTCGGTTACCACATTTCTCGTATCCTTTTCCATACTCCAACACAAACACACACACACACACACACACACACATACACATCTCCCACTGTTTAACCCCCTATGGGCTTCCTCTTAAATTCCATTTTCTTGCATATGCACAGGAAGTGGTGACGTCTTCTTGGCTTTTAGCATGTGCTGGGAAAGTGAACTAGCATGTACTCTTCTATATATGGTTTGGCAGTGTAGTAGGCGGTTGTGGGTGGAGCGGGTGAAGGGTAGCTGTTGTGTGCCCTGTTTTTATGGCTCCCAGTCAACAGAGTGACCTTCTACAGCCTTTATCTCTTCGTCCGTAAGGTGAAAGTGTGCGATATGAAAAGTGAAAGAGTAAAAAAAAAACAACAACATGAAAATGAATTTGAGAGAGAAAATACACATGGAGTGAGAGCGCTGGTTAGATTAGAAAGAGTAGGAGGATCTGGTCCAAAGTTCAAATGGAAAATGGGTGGGGCTTCAGTGTAAAAGAAGTGGGCGTGTCTGTTTGTGTGAGTTTCCAAAGAAGAGAAATTCACTGAAAAGGGAAGCAAAGCAAAATGCTTTGTCATAGTCACATTTAAAAAATGAAATATATATATATATCTCCACAGAATAGGAAAATTATTACATATTTTTGACAATATTATATTCAAATAAAATAGACTGTATTACACTATTTTGGCCCAAAATAAAAATAATATATATAATGCATAATTTGGCTTATTATGTTATTAAAATATTTTTATAATATTAAAATAAAATTTTTTAATATCAAATCAGCATATTAGAATGATTTCTGAAGGATCATGTGACACTGAAGACTGGAGTAATGATGCTGAAAATTCAGCTTTGCATCACAGGAATAAATAACATTTTTATGTATATTCAAATTAAAAATATTTATTTCAAGCTGTGTAATAATATTTCACAATATGTTGGTAAATGCAAATAAATGCAGCTTTGGTGAACATTAGTGACGTCATTAAAACATTTAAAAATCATATACAGTGGGTACGGAAAGTATTCAGACCCCCTTAAATTTTTCACTCTTTGTTATATTGCAGCCATTTGCTAAAATCATTTAAGTTAATTTTTTTTCCTCATTAATGTACACACAGCACAGCAAGAATGGCAAGCATTTTGAGAATATTCTTATATTGCAGTAAAAAATATTTATTGGTCCTAAAAGCAGTTAAGTAATGTGGAAATTGTATTGTTTGGAACATTAAACCTTTTTTTTTTTTAATAGCTCCAGTAATCTAATAAAATATGTTACAAATTACTTTTTAAATCTGTTCAACACAGATAACAATTCACATCTAGAGCAATAAATATGTTAATGATGTTAATGATAGAGGAATGTGGGCTGATCTGATGAAGGAAGATAAAGAAAAACAAACAAACAAAAAGCCAGCCAGGACAAAAATGCCTCCCATAACAGCGTTAACTTAATTTATGTAGGCCGCTCAAAGGGATTGCGTAGCTTTATTGTTCAAGTATCTTCTGTGGCATGTATTTTTGTGATGAGCTTATTTACTTCATAATGAGTTTACAAAAGCAATGATAAGCACAAACATCACCTCACGTCTAACACCCCTCAGGAGAAAGAGATTAGATGGGATTGTGTGCACTAAACACCGAATACATCATAGTAACTTCTCTCAAAGAATGACACACCTACACACACCTGATCTGATTGCAAACCAGACACATCAGAAATGTGCCTCAAGTAACTAAAACTTGAAAATGTAGTTTTAAAGGGGTGGTTCATTGCGATTTCACTTTTTTAACTTTAGTTAGTGTGTAATGTTGCTGTTTGAGCATAAATAATATCTGCAAAGTTACAAAGCTGAAAGTTCAATGCAAACGGAGATATCGTCTTTTAAAATTCTGGCAGTTTAATGCCTACAAAAATGGCTGGTAGGGACTACAACAAATTACTTCCTGGGTTTGTGACATCACAAACCCAGATAAACTGAGAAGCGTTAAACATGGACGCACGTGCAGTTGCTGTACTGTATTAAAGCTTTAATCAGGATAAAACTGTATATTAAAAGCTAACATAAGCAGTAGCATTTACAAATAACAGAGTATCTAAAAGTATGAGACAACAAACAAAAAACATAGGCCTACCATTAAAAGCCGTGCTTGCACAGGTTCTGCACGATCCTCTTCAATAATATCCTCTGCTTCTCAATCTCGAACTGATAAGTGATATTAACGACGCCGCTGTCTACAATACAACCGGAGCACATGCAGCTGAGTTGAGGGGCGGGACGTTTAGACGCTCACTAGAGGCGGTTTAGCCAATCACAACACACTGGGCTAGCTAACCAATCAGAGCCCATCGCCTATTTCTGAGGGCGGGGCTTCATAAAAGAAGGAAAAGATCAGCCCGTTTCTCAGAGAAGGGACAGAGCGGTGTGGAATAAAGGTAAATTATGTGAAAAATTATGCGTTTTTAAAAAAAACGAAGCATTAACCCATGTTAGACTACACCCCATAAACACAATCAAGCCTAGAAAAAACCCAGTGAACCACCCCTTTAAAAAGTGTCCAAGTTTTATATATACACACACACATACACATAAAGAAAGAAAGAAAGAAAGAAAGAAAGAAATTTACAGGTAACACAAAAGAGCGAAGGGACCACACACAACACCATAGTCTTTTTTTCCACCATAAACAGTCATAAAGTTTGCAATTGTGTGTGTGTGTTTTTTTGTTATGGAGAGGAGTTCTGAGATCATACACATACGCAAGTTAATCTGAATCAAGATTGTTTGCCAGGTCAATTAAGTATTTAAGGGGATTTTAGCACTGTGAGTATCTGTAGTATTTCTGAACCTAAAGGCCTATACAATGACCATTTACATACATGAGAGACTTTTATTAGCATGACAGTCTTGATTAACTACAAATGGTTTGTACTGAATGATTTGCATTGCTTTCTAAGCCACGCTATTCTTACTAATAGAGAATTATAAATAGACGCATTGCAGACATGCTTAGATGATGAACCTAATTTTTAAAAAAGCCTAATTCTAATCTTTGTAATAGAGTATATTTCTGATGACTTCACAAAGAATTGATTATTTCAATTACAAATTTCTGACAGTGACAGTGTCATGTTGGGACATGCATAAGTAGTTTCAAGTTCAAAGTCATGCTAGAATGGAAATGTTGTGATAAGAGCGAGAAGAGTAATTCCATCATTTTCCAGTTACTACGATTGGATGAGAACCAAAAACAGACGCCTTTTAGTGGAAATGGCAACCGTTAATTCTATGATGCAACACCTAAATCTGAATGTAACTGACATTTATGAAAAGAAAAGAATGAAAAGAAGATAAACCCTCCTTAAGGCAAGATGGTTTGCTGGTCTTAAGTGGTCTCAGCATAGTTAGTTTGCTGAAGGATTTTGGCGATCAGCATGCTGACCAGCTAAATCCAAAACACCAGGCTGGGAGACCACTGACCAGCAAAAAACAGCTTAAAACAACTAAGACCAGCAGCAAGCCATCTGGGCTAGTTTAAGAACTTATGTCAGTAGAAAAGAAGGAAAGAACATAAAACTCTTTTATCAGCAATAGCATCTAAATATCATTGTGGTTTTCGTTTTTCATACGGCTTTAAGGGAAAGGGGAAGAACAAGCAAAAAACTACTCTCAAAAAATCCCGGAAGTTTATGTCATTGAACTTTCCACGAGCGTCTCGCTTTCGTAATTCTTCTTCCTAACTTCCTCAAACATGCTAGTCATTCATATAGGTCAGTTAATGACGGATATTAAGTACATTAACCATGTGAAACTGTCAGAGAACGGAGGATTTTGTGTTGGTAAGAGATTAACAATTATTTTATATACCCAAAAACCTAATTCTAATCATCCTATCATTCTACAATTTCGCTGTTCAAAACGTGCTCCGGCTACATGATGGATTCTAATGTTGTTGTAAACCTGTTGCGTCCGGAATTTCCAAAAACACGTCACTGGTTTGTCGGTGTCCTGATTGGCTGCATACGGAAGAGAGGCGGGTTCAGTCGGTGACGCCTCTGAATAAAACTAAACGGGATCACTCATTACGCAGGAATACTGCGTACCAACACAGAGGATAGCAGTAAGAAAATACGCGATATAAATCTCATCGAATCGGCATAAAAAAGGACTAACAAAAACAGGACCGGTTTGTTTTGATTTATAAAAGTGATTCACTTCGGAAACTGTCATCAACTTTCGTCACTGGGGCTTCTTATTTTCAAGAGAAGATGTTGAAAGTTTACCTCATGCTGGTTTTGTCTGTGGCTGCTGCTGTTTTCGCTGAGTCGGTGAGTGTCTTGTGAATTTTAACTTATATTACATTCAGTTCAGATACTAAGGTTATAATCGAGCCATATTGTTTTCTTTCATCACAAATGACGAAAGAAGGGTGTTATATTTGCGTTAGCTAAAGCGTTAGCTCTCTGACAATAGACCTGTTGAAACAACAAAGGCTTCTAAATTATACATTCAACCAATTTAACACGTCAGATTAATCATTTAGCTTTAGTTTAATTGTCAAACGTGTAGACAAGCCTTCTTGGTCTTTGGTCGAATTTTCCAATGCGCGCACCTCAAATAAACCTCTAGATTAAGATTAGACAAGGAACAATTAATTTAGTCGTGGTTTTGTGATCAATTTGTGTGCGTTTATATTTATGTATGTGTGTAAGTAATATATTTAAGGGCACCAAACTAGTCTTGCTCATTTTTATTTGTTGTGTAACTTCATGAGTAACGTTAGCACTTGCTTTCATGTGACAGTTTTTGCCCTCAATGCTTTTTTTTTTATTATTTGATTATACTGGATTCAGTCCATGAGGTTTACTTTTCCATCTGTTCATTATGGAATCATCCACTGGAGCACCTGTGAATGGGATGCCACAGCTTTGTGTTGGCCAGTTCTTTCATAACTCAAAAGAATAGCTTGCTGCAGATGTCTTAGGAGCTGAAATAGAAGACAAATGCCACCCAGTGTGCTTGCTTGGTCAGTCAGCCACACACACACACACTAACACACACACCCTCATACAAGTCAAAATGTAAATTCTTTGAGGCTAAACCTTCCATTCTCTCACAGACCTTTGGAAAGGTGTTGCCGCAGATCTTTATCTATACTTAAACACCATCAGATGCAGCTTTTGTACTGCGTCTTGTCCTTGTCTGTCGATGGTTTTAGTGTGTGATATTGTGTAATCTTAAGGGTAATAGAACAGTAAACCAGCTGCGCTGTTAGTTGTACATCGGATGGTGTGATTTAATCTCGGGTGGGAATGTGAGAACAAGCTCACACGCACCAAAAGCCTTGTCCTTCGAGGCAGAGAAGGCCGCAGCATTCCTCAAAATCATGCAAAAGTGTCTGTGTTCCTTTCATCCCCCTCCCTCTCCATTCTTTAGCGTTTTCCTGAGGAATTTGACCCCTCCTGACCTTGACCAGCCCTTCTTTTGGGATTTCACACACTTGGGCAGATTTAAATGGTCCACCTCTTTCATCCAGGTCCCTCCTCTTTAGCCACTGGACAAGTTTGTGTGGCTTAAACTCAACATGACATGGACCCTTTAAACCTCAGTAATAGGCAAAGTAGGATTGGATATTTTTGATTTGGCCTTGGGGTTGGTTATATTTGAATATTTGAGTGTAGCTTTCACCACCTTACCTGATTAAAATATAATCTCTAGTTAGAAAGACACATGTTGGTCAAACAAAAAAAGTGTCAGTAATATTAACAACCTCCCAAGATTTTTTTCAGGATTTGTATCCTGTAGATAATTGTATGTGCCAAAAATCTCTGGAAAAAAAAATGTTAAAATGTGTTTAACATTTTAAACACATTTTAAAATGTGTTTAAACCCCCCCCCCCCCAAGTTTGTGTCTTTCTAGCTATTAATGTTGGTGTAGAAAACATTTTCACTTATGAATTGCAAAGAAATGGCAATGAAACATGAAAGTAGAAAAACTGAAATTGTATTTTCTTTGTAAAACATACTCGAATAATCTTTAATTTTAAAAACTATGGAAAATCATTTTAAATGTATTACAAAACAGTATTTTTGTCACCTTAGTAGGTTAATCATTATCTTAAAACATAACTTGCACTGTTTAATATTTTATTATTTTAAGTGTAATGGCCATGCTAGATAACGTGCTAATGATTGTGTTATGAATTAGGCATGAGGTGATTTGCATATGAATGGATTTGCTTTTATTTATTTATTCAGTTGTTTTTAGGGTGCGAAGTTCATCTGAAAGGCAGCGGACGTGATAAATACTTTCGCCAGGATGTAATAATGATTTCTACATTGCTGTCCACTGGTCTATTAAATCGCTTTTGAGGCTGGAATGTTGGCACCGAACGAGAGGGTTTTATTTGCTGCTTGGGTGAAAGAAGAATTTAGTTATTACAGCAACTCTGCCTGTGAACACAGTTGTTTATTGTGACAAATGCAATGCCTTATGCTGTACGGTTTTGTTTTGCAAGTCCAAAGGAATATCTTGAGGCCATGTAAAGGGAGTCCTGTGTGTTCTAGAGTCATTTAGCAGACCACATCAGTTACCATTCCAGTTCTGTTGCTTGTGGAGCTATTAACCATATGCCAGACTGGCTTTAGTTGGAAATGCTGATATGCAGCCACCAGCTGTCCTTCATAATGATGGTTCCTCTTTCTTGAGTTGGCCTGTTGCTTTTTTTTCTGCTTATTGGTGTGGATGATAATAGCTTGCTCATTATTACATATTAGCAATTAGGTTTGTGATATCTGTATTCATCTGAATTGGCTTTACCACCTATTCTTTAGTGAAGTTTCTTTGTTGACTATACCCTCCCCCTAAGCAATGGCAATTCCATCAAGCCTTTTGTCTTTCTTGGCGTGTAAATGTTTGTACTCATGAAAATACCCGTTCTTCTAATAAACACACGTCTGGGTTTTTCTCAGGTCTCCAGACTTAAGTTGAAGAAATCTTGGAGCCTAATCACCTCATTGATGTTCCTACAACCACACGGTGGTCTTTCACATCTAATAACACATTTACTGCTAACTTGCAGTATCCTGGATTACCTTCAAGTTGTTTTCCTGAGTCTTCATATTGTTTAGAATGCTCTTTTACATGTCCATTCATGCATAGTATTAATAATACTAATAATAATAATTCAGGGCCTCTCCATCATTGGATGGTTTTAATGATAGCCTTAAGACTTACTACTAGCTTTGATTTTTCTTTTTACTTTCATAATATATTTTATAATGTTTTATAATTGACTATATTTCTTATTGTAAAACACTTTGGGTCCACTTATGTGGTGTTAAATGTGCTCTATGAATAAAAAAAAATTATTAATGCATTAATGCAATAATAATGTTTATTCAGAGTTCTAAATGGTAACATTTATTATCTTTTATGGCAGTGTCTGACTGTTAATCTTAAAGCTTCTCATTTCTGGCTCATTAATTGCTGTAAAATGTAATTAAAGGGTAATTGTGGATATGGTACATTAAATGAGTTTGTAACTTTACCTATGAACATGATTGTTTCCTGTTGAATGCACATAGGTGCTGTTCATTAGCGAACACACCAAATGAATTGTCTAATGTGTATAGTTTTTTGGTGAATTTCTTAAACCATCAAGAACATATTTGGCTCATTTTTTTAATTCCAGAATCCAGTCTAAATCTCTGTTAATGTCAGGTTTTAGCCAGTCAGGGAAGGTCTGTTTTCAGAAAGCTTGAACTCCTCGTTCCCAGATTACACAATACTGATTGTTTGGACTATTCAGAACGGCTCATTGTGCATTAAACAGTCTTTGACTTAATAGTGAGAAGCTTCATTAATGAAAGCCACTAACGGATACAAGGAAAGTGTGCTAGCACTTCCTGTGTGAGAGAATAGAGGCTGATGACAATGAGGCTGAATAGTCCATTTTGTTTGGTTTAGTTGAAGATTTCGAAGGAAAAGTCAAATTCTGTTTCCTTCTCATGCACTAATGCTTCAGTGCTTTGAACAGGTGCTGGGGTGAGAATTTGGCGTGTGATTGAACAATGACGTATCGTTTAACAGGCAGGTGAGTCTTTCCACCCCGCTGTTGAGATTCAGCTTGGAGTGTAGGAAGGAAAACACGACTATAAATAGCTCCTGTAAAGGTGGAAGGAATTCTCTTTGACATACGAGTGTGATTGTGTGCAAAGTAGGACGTACACTCGGTACGTGTGAGGAGTGTATCTCATGAGGAGATCATATGACACAATACACTGGTAAATCCGATTGGTGGAAGTGACAGACACAGTTTGTCTTGATGACTGCGGCTGTAATTGGTTGTGACCTGAAAGGACAACAAGGAGAGTCTTCAAACCACCACAGATGACAGCGGATAATATCTGTATAGTGTAGCTTTGATGGGTCACCAATGAAACCCAGACTGAATCTTGACATTTTCAGGAGAAATTCTGTGAAATGTTCCAACTTTCTGTGACTTTTCATACTCCGAAGTTGCTTGGTAAAACTTAGATGCAGTCTTGGTTATTTAAATATTGGCCTTTAAACTCAAACAGTGAATCACCTCAGACAGTTTTTCACCGTAATGGATGAGTCGCTGATTGTGGTATCTTCTCTTTGCGTCGCCCATTGTGACTCACTGGAACAGATGCCAGACCATTTGTCAGCAGATGGTCGGATTTGCTCCTAGCTTTTCTAGTCTTGACTTGGGCCTGGTTTACTAAGCTGGTTAATTTACACAGGCTTCTCCCGGCATTACAGCTCACTTTGAGGATAAGAGCCATAGTCATAATTGTAGACATGTCATCTTTTTTTTTTATCGTAGTCAACAGCTATCATGAGGGTTGCCTAAGAGTTCACTCAAAAATAAAGCTTTTTCTCATTTACTCGCCCTTAAGTTGTTTTAAATTCGTATGACTTACTTTTGTGGTCACTGATGCTATATATATTTTGCAAACTCGATAATCACATGAATAATAACTTAAATTTCAGTTCAAGCTCTATGTGCACCAGTTTTCACACTGCTTTAATTGTGCATTTTGTCCTTTTTGGAGCTTGACAGTGCCCGTCTCCATCCATTGTTTGGACAAAAGCAGCATGAACTTTGATAAACATCTCCTTTTGTGTGAAAAAAGTCATTTGGGTTTGGAACAACATGAGGGCAAGTAAATGATGTCAGAATTTCATTTTTAGTGAACTAAATGAATTAACTATTATTTTAAGAACTGTTGTTATCTTATGCATTGGTTTTGTTTCTTTTAAATGCTGGTGAGTTTTTTATTTAATTTTTTTTGTTATTGCTGAGAAATTAAAAACAAAAAACATTATTTCCTGCGTTGCGACTGAGAAATTGAGGGACTTTCTTTAGCAGTCCATCTTAGTCTAGAGATTTTAGTTTGGGTGGTGGGATTTTTTAAAACTCTTTCAAGTGGCTTGTATATGTTTGCTCAGAATTTAATGGTTGCTTATGGGAATTTAAGCTTCGGTTTAATTGAACCACGGCTTTCTCAGTCAAAGAGTATCCGCTGTACTTTCTTATACAGGTTTTTTTTTTCTTCTCAGAGCTGAGTATTTCAGAATGCGGGGGGGATTTTGGAGTGGGGTTTCACAGCACTGTAAAACTGAAAACCATAAAGTATGTCGGTCTCTTTCCCCACACCCTCTTGTGGTTTCTGTCATTCTCTGGTTCTCGCTCTCCCTTTTTCTTTTATTGTCTTCGAACAACAGAGCAGGCTAGAGCTGACTTGTAGTTTCATGTGGCGTTTGCATGATCCTGGTTTTCCTGGAAAATGAGTCAGTCAGTCCCCCCCCCATCTCCATTTTAAAAACCCCTCCCTTTTGCGTCTAGAGCCATTTTAAGCATTAAACTTGTTTTAAAAATGTTGTATTTAAGATAAACTTGAAGTCATTGTTGCCTTACTGAAACCCTTAGTAAATTTGTCTAAGGTGATTACGCCGTGTGTGCGCACCTGTGCATTATGAATGATTTTGCTTTCCTGGTATGTGAAACGTTTCAGTGAGTCATGTTTGATTAAATCTGTTTTTGACAGCAAGCAGGAGAGCGAGACCGATAAAGACCCTCAGCCCCTGTCCGATGAATTCTTGTGTTGTTTTACACAATGGTGCCAAACCTGCACTAACTTGCCTCTTACCTTTCCAGCTTGCTTCAAGGTCAAGAGTGAACTGATTGTAATGCAGTATTGTATGAATCACAGTTGTGTGCCATTCAGAATGGAATTTAGAATCTTTTTTTAAATTACACTTAAAAAAAAAAATTTTAAAATAGAATGCTTTAATGTCTTGTGACCATAGCAACAGTGAAAAGCAAAATGGGCACTTTTATGGAAAGAGTCTTGAAAGAGAGACGTGTGTGATCTACTTCCTCCTGTTATGCTAATAGGCTTAGTCCATTAATTGTTTAAAACCCATTCAGAGTGATTGGCCAAATGGCTCTGCTAACGTGATTAATTAATTAAATTAAGTGTGCTCTCAGAACAATCGTTATGCCATAGGCCAAAGTTTTGATTTTATGAGGTCTTTAAATCATTCTTGTGTCACTCAATAGTGACTGTTCCTTCAATTTCTGATGTTTGCATTGGATTACATTATGAAAGAGTGATTTTGCACATTTTTCTTTGGTGATTTGTCTTGGAACAAATGGTGGCAAGTGTAATTTCCTCATGTAAGTTATTTCTCTTTGTAGGTACGAGAAACGGAAACATGGGTACCTCTGAAAAACAAGTCACCCCATGAGGATCTGGAGACTTCCGGCGACTCTCCGAATGAAGATTTTGAGTTTGCTGATTTAAACCCAACTGACGATGAGGATAGCTTTGATGACGATGATGATGAAGATGATGATGATGATGATTATGATGGCTCAGGCTCTGGGTTTTTAGAAGAACCCATAGACAGCAAGGTAGATATGATTTTTTTTTTCTTTGAAAAATTGAGTAACAACTATTAGGATACTACAGAAATGCCTGTTAGGAAACACAACAGTGAATCTTAATTAATGAGGTTTTTGCCTACAAAAAGTGAATCATTTTAAAGTGAAATGCTCTTTAAAGAATTCTTCTAAATTGAAATTACATTTTATATTATTACAGTAAATAAACAGACAGCGCATCTTTCTATTGCATTTTATACTCTGGTTTAATACTACAACAAATATGCAATGCAACCAGTGTCATCTGATTTGTGACTCTTATGAGCCGATTGTTTTTAATGAATGTCAGAGTGACTCTCTATTGAGTCACAGACTGACTCATTGGTCTAAAGTAACTCATTCATGGTTGCTGAACTGACTCACTGATTTAAAAATCATTACTTCGGGTCATATCCAACTTGAATTGTCATTTCTTTCTTACGCATGCTTATGATTCATGAAACCATGAGTTGAATTACTGATTGGTTGTTCATATGACAGATTTTTGTTGTATATGCAACCGATTTGATTTTTATATTAATTTTCTTGTGACCGTTTTCTCCTTTCTCAGACTGGTCTCTTCAATAGTAACCAGATCCCTGATTTTAAGGGTCCATTTGAACCAAGGCCAACTGTCAATAACGATGTTTTGGTTAAAAACAATGAGGTCGGCTTGCCTGGAGCACCAAACCAAGACAATGACCAGCTCAGCAATGTGCTCATGACCCATGCTGGAGATGACAACTTGTTAAACAACACAGAGGTGCTTGCAGGTGAGGAGACGGTTTGATTTGTTTGCAATAGTGATAGTTTGATATGCAAATTAAATGCAATTAATAAATATTGTCGGGCAAAATTTGAATATTTAAATATAGTAAAACCAATTTCTGATGTTTGCATTGGATTACATTATGAAAGAGTGATTTTGCACATTTTTCTTTGGTGATTTGTCTTGGAACAAATGGTGGCAAGTGTAATTTCCTCATGTAAGTTATTTCTCTTTGTAGGTACGAGAAACGGAAACATGGGTACCTCTGAAAAACAAGTCACCCCATGAGGATCTGGAGACTTCCGGCGACTCTCCGAATGAAGATTTTGAGTTTGCTGATTTAAACCCAACTGACGATGAGGATAGCTTTGATGACGATGATGATGAAGATGATGATGATGATTATGATGGCTCAGGCTCTGGGTTTTTAGAAGAACCGATAGACAGCAAGGTAGATATGATTTTTTTTTTCTTTGAAAAATTGAGTAACAACTATTAGGATACTACAGAAATGCCTGTTAGGAAACACAACAGTGAATCTTAATTAATGAGGTTTTTGCCTACAACAAGTGAATCATTTTAAAGTGAAATGCTCTTTAAAGAATTCTTCTAAATTGAAATTACATTTTATATTATTACAGTAAATAAACAGACAGCGCATCTTTCTATTGCATTTTATACTCTGGTTTAATACTACAACAAATATGCAATGCAACCAGTGTCATCTGATTTGTGACTCTTATGAGCCGATTGTTTTTAATGAATGTCAGAGTGACTCTCTATTGAGTCACAGACTGACTCATTGGTCTAAAGTAACTCATTCATGGTTGCTGAACTGACTCACTGATTTAAAAATCATTACTTCGGGTCATATCCAACTTGAATTGTCATTTCTTTCTTACGCATGCTTATGATTCATGAAACCATGAGTTGAATTACTGATTGGTTGTTCATATGACAGATTTTTGTTGTATATGCAACCGATTTGATTTTTATATTAATTTTCTTGTGACCGTTTTCTCCTTTCTCAGACTGGTCTCTTCAATAGTAACCAGATCCCTGATTTTAAGGGTCCATTTGAACCAAGGCCAACTGTCAATAACGATGTTTTGGTTAAAAACAATGAGGTCGGCTTGCCTGGAGCACCAAACCAAGACAATGACCAGCTCAGCAATGTGCTCATGACCCATGCTGGAGATGACAGCTTGTTAAACAACACAGAGGTGCTTGCAGGTGAGGAGACGGTTTGATTTGTTTGCAATAGTTACAGTTTGATATGCAAAGTAAATAGAATTAATAAATATTATTGGGCAAAATTTGAATATTTAAATATAGTAAAACGTTTGGTACACTAGCGTTTAATGTTTTGCTTTAAAATAAATTCCACTGGTTTGTTTTATCATTTAGCGCAGTATTTTCTAGTGTTATTTCAGTATTATTAGTTTTTTTTTCTAAGAATTCTGAATTGTGAGAAAAAGTCACAATTACCTTTTTTTTTTTTTTTTATCTTTATTCAGTGGCAGAAACGGGCTTCCATATATATATTACATCTATGTTTTCACACAATTGCGATTTTTTTTCTATTCTGAATTGTGAGAAAAAGTCACAATTTCCTTTTTTTTTTTTTTTATCCCGTGGTGAAAACGTGTTTCCGTAGTTACGTGCATGTCATTTTTATTAGTTTTTATTTTATATTTCTACATTGCTTTAATTTATTTATATTTTCCTTTTTTTTTTTTAGTAAATGTAGTACTTTAACTTATTTCAGTTAGCTGCCAAGGCAACATTTCTAATTTTGATTTAAGTTTTTCATCAAATATTTGTAATTTATTTTATGTCAGTTACTGAAAATACAGTAACAATAACAAAGCTGGTATTTTCATACATTTGTACGTATATTTTGAAAATACACGCAGGCCGCTGGTATCCATTAACGCTGTGTCTGTAGGTTATGCCTCCCTCACATTTTTCTATTTCTGTTTTCTAGCTGTTATTGCGGGCGGAGCAGTTGGTCTGGTCTTCGCCATCCTCCTCATCGTCCTGCTGGTTCACTTCGTTCTCCGCATCAAGAAGAAAGACGAAGGAAGTTACGACCTGGGCAAGACGCCCATCTACAAGAAAGCTCCTACCACAGAATTCTATGCATGAGCATCCACACCCTTACATACCTTCTCTGCCTCTCTTTTGAACTATAAGCTCACACAGTGCCTCGGCCCGACGGGCCGCCGCCAACCTCTCACATACCACGAAAACCACAGAAGGACCTCACACAAATAATTCACTCTGCCTGGACATTTGCATTGAAATCTTAAAGCGACTCGGAGGGGATAGCGTCTGTTGCCAAACCGCTCGATTCAAAAGAAGTTCTTGTCTTGTTCTCTCACACTTACTGCCTTTTCACCACGTGGCCCATTGTGTCCATTATATATTTTTAAATAAAACACTACAAGGTGCAATGGAGCCATTCACAGGTTAAAGGCTTTGGATTGACCATTGAACCAGCCGTTATGAAAAACAGTCCGTGTCACGATCGGTGCTTCAGAAAGGGATGGTTACTGTAGCCTTTTACGTTATCAGATGTCTTTTGTTTTTAAATCTGTGTGATGTTAAACTTTTTTTATTTCCTTATTAAAACATCAGAGGTGGAACCAAATTGAGGGCATGCAGTATATGTTTGAAACTTTTCTGTGAATTCTGTGAGAGCAAAGCTGAAATCGGTGTGCTAGACTAATGTATACTCATTTCAACCATGGTGTTATGGTACATTCCTCATATCTGTATCTCATTGCTGTGTTGGTTTTGTGCGACGAGAGACTTAGTACTGCTAACTATAGTGCTGCTTGACTGCCAGCTAAGCTCCTTTAACAGGTACAGATGTTGATTGAGAATCGGCTCACTTTAAACAGACTTTGTACATCCAGGGATCTGTATATAGCCATTTGAATAAAATGTAAAACTTTGGTACTTAGCCATTTCTTGACAGCCTTTTATTTACCAAATATTTAAATGCCAAAATCGTTTTTATTGTTCTTATATCTCATCCCGGTATTCGCTTTTGGCGTAAAACCTGTTCGTGAAACGCAGATGCTTTGCGTCTGTATCTTTCGAAAACATTTATGGAAAATGTTTTGTTTGAGAACAATGACCAATGCTAGTACTAACTTTTTTTTTTCAGTGTTTTTGTAGATGTTCTTAATTCCTTTTTTATTTTACATTTTTTGGTATTAATTTAACTGTCATATTTTATTGCCTGCCTTCAGGTCGGGGGTGTTGCTCCCCCTTCTCAGCTATTGTACATGTGATAATTTTATTTTATTTTTTTTGGTTTTTAGATTTATTTTATATACCATAGTGCAAAAAATTCAAAGGCTGTTAGTCTTTTGACAAGATTTTTTTTTTTAAGAGTTTCTATTTCTTTTAGACTTTTTAAGCCGAATCTATTTATGTTTTGTAGAAGGATGTTCTGGATTAGTTAAGGGGAACGTGAATGAGCTGTGCATTACTAGCATGGTGTAAAATGATTAAAAAAAGAAAAGAGAAAAATCTGCTGCTTTGTTTGGTCACATCCAGATGAAATCACTGATCTAATGTTGAAGTCAATGAATCATTGATTTTTGCATGCAGATTCTGATCTGTTGAAAATAAAGCTATTTTATGCACATAACCAAGGTGTCTTAAGCTTTTTCCGCCATAAAAGTCCTCATAAATTTGCCTTTTAATGATGTCACTATATTTCTTCAGATGTGATTTAAGAAATTGATAATTGAAAGTTTATTCTGTAATATCAAGTAGACCGTCCTCTTGACCTAAAGCAGACCTCAAGTCAAAAATTTGTTTGTTTAGGGTTTGTGGTATAGAAAGGCTCGGAAACTAGACACTAGTAAAGGAGGACGTATGAAATGAAAAACACTTTAATTTACAGACACACTTGAATTGGAAGCTAACGAGGCTGAGGTTTGGTTTCAGAGACTGAGGATCTGCAAGGAGCAATGGAAAGAAGGTAGATGATGTTTCACAGTTATCAAGGGGAAAACATGTTGTGTTTTTATTGATCTTATATTGTTGGTACTCTATGCTCATTGTTTTGGGATTGTTTCAAGGAATCAGTTCCGCAAAAGTTCTTTTGCTATGGTCCTTCAAAACAGAAGCTGTCTGAGCCACCATTGTGGTTCCTCAGATTGCCACATTGGTGGAACCTTCTGGAGAACCTCAATTTCAAGTGCTTAAAAAATGATAAAATGGGGATGGAGGTATTTTTGACAGTCTTGAGAGATCTTGCATGAACTTTACATCTTGTAAGTTACTCTGCAAAATGACCTTTTGGATGCTGTGCCTAGAAGTTCTCCAAACTGAGGCCTTCTTTGTGGAAGATAGATGTTTATCTACGGCTAGGTTACTATAATTTGTGTCCTGAAACCATGCGAGAAACATTGCATGACAACATTCAAAAAAAAAAAAAAATTTTACATTTCTTTAAAAAAAAAAAAAATACCAATTTGGGGTAATAAGATTCAGTAGATAGATAGAAAGCAATGCTTTTATTCAGCAATGATACATTAAATTGATCAAAAGTGACAATAGAAACATTTATAGTGTTACAAAAGGTATCTATTTCAAATAAATGCTTTTCTTTTGAACTTTCATCAATGAATCTTGAAGAAAATGTATCATTGTTTGCACAAAAATATAAAGCAGCACAACTATGGATAATAAATTACAATGATAATATTTAGAAAAGTTTCTTGAGTAGCAAATCAGCATATTAGAATACTTTTTGAAGGATCATGTGACACTGAAGTCACATGGTTTGCATATTGTTTGTTCATGAACCTATTTGTGATAGATGAACTTTGAATAATGAGACAGACTTTAATATGTAATGTAAGTGCCTCAGTGTTAAACTGGGAATTTCCACCTCTAGAGAAATGACTGTAAGCAGCTGTGTGTGTGTGTGTGTACCTGTTTTTCTATTCTGGTGGGGACTTAAACCTGAATACACACAGACTCATTGGGGACTCGTGTCACGGTGGGGACCTAAATTGAGGTCCCCACGGGTAAACAAGCTAATAAATCACACAGAATTAAGTTTTTTGAAAATCTAAAAATGCAGAAAGTCTCCTGTGAGGGGTAGGTTTAGGGGTAGGGTTGGTGTAGGGCAATAGAATATACGGTCTGTACAGTAGAAAAACCATTACGCCTATGGAGAGTCCCCACAAGGATAGCTGACCAGACATGTGTGTGTGTGTGTGTGTGTGTATCCAGCATGTTGATGCCTGTCTGCTTTGCTACCAAAACATATGAGCATACCAAGAGAATAAAGGCTGTTTTCTTTTAGGATTGAAGGATAAAAATAGAAAATGTTTTGATTAAAAAGTGTAAAGGCTCATGCATGGACCTTGATCATATCTATTTTTGTTTCTGTTTTTAAAATGAGATACACTGACAGGATTCCTTAAACCAGGCCAAGGCTTAATCTTGTGGCAAAAACAAACACAGCGGCTCCAAAAAATATTTGCCCACACTTTTTGCAAAAGTGTGTTTGCACTTTATTTTTCTTTAAATATACTCCCCATAAAAACAAACAATCTGTCATCATTTACTCACCATCAAGTTGTTCCAAACCAAAAAGTTGCTGGTAGCCATTGATTTCCATAGTATTTCTTTCCACACTGTGGAAGTCAGTGAGGACCAGCAACTGTTTGGTTACCAATATTCTTCAAAATATCTTTTGTGTTCAACAGAAGAAAGAAATTCATACAGGTTTGGAACAAGCTGAAGGTGAGTAAATGATGACAGAATTTTCATTTTTGGATGAACTATCCCTTTAAAGTAAATGCCATTTGGTTTTGGTATGCAATGATATTCATACATTTTTAAGCTTGGCATAGTGACTAAATACTTTTTTTATAACCGCCTTAAGTGATTGTCTGTATGATAATGCAACATTATAAGGGTTATTGGGGGTGTGTTGAACACGTGCCCTCTCTGACGTCACACTTTCACACCTGAACGAGTCCAGGTAAATTTAGCACGAACAGTCCGTTGAGCCATTTAGGAAAACCAGTTGAAATCTGCTTAGCATTAGCTATAGAAATTAAATGACCTGCATGGGGAAGTTCCCTTGCGATTGATTATATCTGGCAAAGTTGTGCTGTAAAAATATCTTAATGCATATTGAAAATAGATGCAAATCTGACTGTTTCCCTGATAAGTTTATCTTTTATCTGTTGGGGGGAAAACATCATGCCTCCGGTTACAGGTTGAATGGACTAGACAATGAATATTGTGCAGTTTTTCCCCCCTCACGGAACAGTTTCATCATTAACACGCGCGCGTTTCCTGCTGCACATTTGTATGCACATTTGTCATGGAAGGTTCTGGAAAATGTTCAAACTGTCACGTATTACGCCATCCTATTGGAAGCCTTCTCACTTTCAACTACAGCCCGGGTTTGTTTACTCAAGAGGTGGGGCAAAAGACACAGGAGAAAACGGCCGTTTGCCATATAAACGTACTTTATGGAAATAATTTGCAATATAAGTGTTTTTCTCATTGCTACTAGTTGAACTAATTTTAAAGTAACCCCTACATTTAGATCGAACATGAGGAACACCAGGGCTAGTTGTCACTAAAATCTCAGTAACTGTAAGATTATGAGTCAAAATTGCACAAGTCTATAGGCTATCTATATAATGATAGTAGCTATCGTTTAACAGACAGGTATTCTTCAGTATCCTAATATGTCAGTTTGGGGCAAGTTTGCCACATGTTTTGATTATTTATATATATATATATATATATATATACAGGTACATCTCAAAAAATTAGAATATCATGAAAAAGGTCAATATTTTTTCCTAAGAAACTCTACTAAGAGAATATATCCCTGTTGCTTTGACTTGACAAACCAAGGACTAATAATATCAGCAGTCTTTTACTACATGACGCCACCTCTTTAATCTTCATTAACAACTTGATAAAGTATTTTAAAACCGTAGCATCTTGTAAGGATGTTACACCAAATCTGCATTAATTATTGTCAATCTGTGTGTATCACAGAGACGTGTAGCTATGATATTATTCCTTTTCTGCTCGATATGAGGAACAGGGGTGTATTCCAGAATGTGGGTTTTGTTGGAAACTCAGAGATTGTTAACCCCAGAAAAGGGAAACTCAGGGTTTTCGGTTCCAGTAAAAGACAAAACTAAACCTCTCGGTAAGTTACCATAGTAACTTACTCTGTGAATACCTAACCTGGTCGGGAGCAGGTTTTCTTCTGTAAAACCAGAGTTTCTTTCGGTCTCCTCCCCCTTTTTAAAGCATAAGCAATGTTTAAATACCCCATTCATTCATTCACGCTGCAAAAATTGCTTTTATTGCTGAGATTTTTGCCTTATTTCAAGTACAAATATCTAAAAATTCTTAAATCGTGATGTATTTTCTATATAAGAAAAAATATGTACGATATTTAGTCTTGTTTCCTGGGGTAAACAAGTCAAATTAATTGCCAGCGGGGTAAGAAAAATAATCTCAATGAAAATGGAAACAAGATTATTTTTCTCACCGGACCACTTTCGTTTTCATCATGCAGACACGGTAAATGTGACAAAAGTGGCATGTCTTTTTATAAGGGATCCTGTAGATGAGGAGGCTGCATTAATTCGTGGGGAGTTACATTTACAGGAGAGGATGTAATTTAATTTGATTTAATTTATTTATTTTGCCATATCCACATGCATATTTATTTGAACGGTACCATTTTTAAATGGCGTTCACTTGATAAAATCTTGTTGCAACCTCTAAGTAACCTAATAATTAGAATTTCCTTTAGGATTTCCAGTGTGGTTGGATGCATTGATTACACACACCTTCTCACCATCGCACCTTCCGAAAATGAAGCTGATTACTGTATGGAATAGAAGGATGCCAGATGGAAGGGTAGTGCAGGATTTATACCGTAACCACCATCACAGCTGTTAAATAAATACAAATTATTCACAGTTTATTTGGTCATCTTTATGTTCTACAAATACAAAAGCAACAAATTATT